TGTTTGGTGTTAACAGCCAAGCGTTCTTCGTACCTTTTTCTGCACTCGTTCTGGACGCTAGTGTCCTCGCGTCTTACCACCTTGTACCTTACGTGGGTCCGAAAACCTCCCGAGCTTCGATAGCGCTACCACAGTTCCTTTTCACGCCGCATTGCTTTATCGACACGCGCCCTTCACCAGGACAGTTTGCCACGGCGTCTTACCCTTTTTTCGGGTGCTACCTGATTGGTCAGCTCCAGCAGGTTGCACTTTACGCTCTCCCACTGGTCTTGCACACTTTCTTGAGCACTCTCAGCCAACCAGTTTAGCCGGCACGCCCTACTCGGCAGGTTCCCGGTGTCTATCTTGTTTCACTGACGCCGAAGTTTGTCAGGAATAGGTAATCACTGCATTCTTATCCTCATCCTCATAACCCGGTGTTCGCTTTTGCCCATCGGGTCTTTTACAACAGTTCCCTGCGCCCCGTTGGGGAACTTTGTGCAAACTCGGTCCAGACTAGAAGCTGTTCGCCCGAAAGTCCATCTGTTCTCGCCGGTCACATGTTAGATCAGGGCCCTACAATGCAACATTTCAAGTAGCCTTTCCTTTTGTGAGTTACCTTGTGAGTTGCCGCGCAATTTAAATCTTTGAACCGCTCTGCTGGTTGCAATTTTATTTGCGTCGAGTCGTGAAATAACCTTGCTTACCGGATTCTAGTATTTACTAAGGCTTACTTTTTTCAGAGAATTTTACTCCTCGACAGATGTTTTTACCATAGTGTTTTTACCGCTTTTGTGTGGCGCGTTAGTGTGATTTTATCTCTTTTTTAGTTGTTCACTGATAAGCTTGGAATATTTTATTGCATACTCTATCCCATTCGAGAAGGAATCACTTGCAAAATGGCTTTCCAGTGGAACCGTAACACATACGGTAATAAGGCCTGTCACAAAGTTGGGATTTTTGGTATCCAGTGCGATAGTGCCAGGATTGACATCATTAGCTGTGTTTGAACTTAACAAAGCAGGATTACCAACTGCATACGAAGCACGAAAGCCCTAATTGGACGTGCTCAGACTCTGTAATGTTTACTGAATTGTGCGCTCGCTTACTGCTAGGCTCTCCTCGGTCAAGGGCACAAGACGCAAACAATTGGCAAGAGCAGTTATCCCAGAATGCGGCGCAGGGAAACACCAAGGGTGAGCGGGCACCAGCTACGAGAATCCCAGAGCAGCTACACCAGGGTAAAAAAAAGAAGCCGACGAAAAAGCCGTCTGAGGCCAGCTGGGAGAAGTTAAGGAAAGAAATAGATG